GTGTGTGTGTGTGTGTTTTAAGTGAGTTCCTTCCCTGGAAGAAACAGAACAAAGACTAACTTTTGGGATCAAACACGTGTCTGCTCCTCAAGGAGGGTTCCTTCAAGATGGTCCAATGGCAAATGATGGTCAGATGACCCAATACATCAAGTATGTTAACAATATTACAAACTACTTTCCCTGTCCTTTCCTGTCAGGGTAAGAAGTCAAGATGGTATTAGGCTTCTGCTCCATTTTTTTAGAAAAGAAAAATCACTCCTCTATTTCCTAAAGTCTTTCCAAACTGCGCCTTCACAGAATATGTTCTGAAAACTTTTTACCAATGAATCTAGCGCTGAATTCTGTCAACTCGGAATTGTCCCACACTTGGGTTACCCAAAGTCAGCTCATTCCCTTGATTGCTTCAAGGAGCAGCCGATACTCAGGAAGCATCTAGTCCAGTGGTCGGCAAACTGCGGCTCGTGAGCAACTGAAGTCTGCCACTCTGTTGACTGAGTTTGCTGAGCACTGATGTAGTCCAAGGGGTTTCTCCCCAGGACCACACCTCCCCCCAGGCCCTTCCCCACTGTTATTTGCACTCAATTCAATGCCTCTCAGTTCAATGCCTATGAACTGGCATTTAGCTCCTGGCCCCTTTTATACCTTGAAGGTAGAAACGGGCCTTGCATTGCCAGTGTGGACTTGACATTCAATAGCAGGGGCTGAAGCCACTTAGGTAGACAGCAGGAGACCTGCTCCCTAGCCTGGCGTGCCAGCCCCGCAACCTTCCATTTTACCAGCTGGGAGCTCTGTGGCCTAATCTGCGGGCTCCCCAGGACAGAAAGCCCAAACCTGCGGTGCTGCCCGGCAGTCCCAGCTCTGCCGCACATGCACATCTCCGACAAGAAGGGACTTGCCTAACGTCCCCTCCCCCACAAGTGCTCCTCTTCCCACTGCTTTGCACTGTGTGCTCTGTTGGCAACAGGCCTCAGTTTCACTACCTCCAGCGGCAGCTTATGGGGGAAAGTTTACTGGGCACCCATGGAATGCGGGCATGAGACCGGTCCCCGGAGCCCAGAGCGGGCTGTCTGTGCAGAATCCAGGAATTCATCGTTTGGTCGCACATGGTCATGCTTGCTCATACTTAGCCCGCATTCGGAGGGAGACAGGCTACAGGAGAAATCCTCCTCAGACCTTTATCAGAGCCTAGAGCCTCAGTGCTTCTCTTTCAGGATCAGTGTGAACCCGGGCCTGTCTCCCACCGCCAATTCACACCTCTTATCTGGTCCTTTCCCACGAGGGTGGAATGGTCCAGCGCGGCCACAGCTCCCGGGCGGAGGCGGGGTTCGGGATTCGGGGTAGATTATAGGGTGCGGGTCCTTGTGGCCCCAAGCGCCTTGGACACAGGGGCTGGGAGTTGCCACCCTCTGAAGAAGCCCATTGTCAGGGTCTGAATGGTTTCCTGAGCTTCACCCGGTCCCCTGCGGACCACGATTAACTCCAGCCAAGGGGAGCGCCGTGGCCGGGCGCTGACAGCGGATGGCTAGCGCCAGGGGGCTCTCCTCTCTGTCTGAAACCGAAAGGAAGGGAGGGAGGGAGGGAAGGAGGGCGGTGGAGGGGGGAGGAAGGCCGGCAAGCGGTGAGCTCACGCCAAGGAGCTAGAGCGCGCATTCCCTCTCCTGCCAGACAGATTCAACCGGAGCCGCAGGAGCTGCGACGCGGAGGAGCCGGGTCCCCTAAGCTTGGCGCAGAAAGCTGATCCCCACCCCCCGCAGCACCCCCTGGGTTCCCAGGGGTCACCGGGTTCTTAATGCCGCCGGCCCTCGCCAGCCCTGGGCGTTAGCTCTGCGGGCCTGTGCTGCTCCCCACCCCCCAACCCTGCGCCCCAGCCCCGGACCCCAAGCTGCGGCGCAGGCAGTCCCAGGCGGAGGGCGGGGGCAGCCACGGAGTCACAGCTCGCCTCGCCTCGCCCCCGTGAACTTGTGTTGATATTAAAAAAAATCAATCAGTGGCAATGAAGCATCGGCCGTGACAGTTTTTCTTTCTCACGTGGAAAAGCCGAGAGCGCGGCGGCGGCGGCGGTGGGGAGCCGCAGCCTGGACTTTCCGGTCCTGGACGGGGCGGAGGGGAGGCCGGAGCCTCTCCCCGCGCTGTCCTCGGCCGGGGTGGGGGGAGGAGGAGGAGGAGGAGGGGCCCGGCCGGGGGAGTTGGAGGCCGCCAGCTCTGGCCCCTTGAGCCTCCTGGCTTTGGCTTTCGCCGGGGGCACGCCCGCCTAATAGAATGCTTATGGATCGCCGGGCTCTGTTTCTGCCGCGCGGCCCAAACAAATCGATGCGTCGGGAGGGACGGCGCTGGGGGTTGGGGTGCGCGGGGGGCCCCCGGCGGCCCCACCACGTGGGCCCCGCGCCGCGCGCTCTCCACCTGCCTCGGCGCCGGGCGAGCGCTCCGCGCGGCAGAGGCGGTGCGGGCGGCGCGCATCCCCGCGGGTCGGCTCCATCCCGCTCCATCCCGCCGGCTTCTGTCCGTCCCTGCGCCTTCGGCTCGGAAACCCACCCCGGCTTCCCGCCGCCCCGCTCGGATCCCCCTGCCCCGCCGGCCCGGCCTCCACGCCGACTCTCCGGGGATGCGGTGGGGTGGGGGGAGGGGAGAGGGCGATGCAGCGCAGAGTGGAACGCGCCCGGCGGAGGGGCGCTCCGGGAGGCCCGCCGAGCGGTGCTGAGCCCCAAGCCCGGCGGCAGGCAGGCAAGCAGGCAGGCGGCGCTGCGATCCGGCCCGGCGGCGGGCCGAGGAGTGGGGGCGCCGAGGCTGCACGCCGCCGGCAGAGGGGTTCTTTGCTCACTCGCCCTCCGGCTTTCACCTTCCCCCCGACCCCTCGGACTGGGCTCCCGCCGCCGCCGGCTGCACCCTTTCCCTGCGGGCGGGCGCGCACCGGGTGAGTCAGAGGTCTGGCGGGGCCTCGCCCTGTGCCACCGCCGCCAGCTGCCCGAGTGCCAGCGGGCTGCTCGGACGGAAACCCCGGCGGCTCCGCGCCCCTCCAGGAGATGCCTGCCCGCGCCCTGCGCCTCCGGGCTGCTCTGGCCATGCCGCAGGCTGGGGGCGCAGGGCGGGGAGGGGGCGCGCCTGCGGGCAGCGCGGAGGCAGGTGGCGGGGCGGGAGCGGGTCCCGTCCTCTGCCGCACAGGGGTGCACTCTCCATCCGCACAGCGCTGGGGGGGGGGCGGGAATGTGTGAACATGGGGGGGGGAGGACCCTGAGTCCTCACGACTCCCCCCCCGCCCTACACAGCACAGAGAACCTGAAGTTGTGTGTGCGCGCGCGTGTGAATGTGCCCGTATGCGCTCCAGGGCCCGCGCGCTCGCACACCGGGTCTGTCCGAGACCCTGCCTGCATGCATAACACACCGTGGCATCCTCCCCGCGCGGGAGCGTACACACACACACACACACACACACGTACACACACACACACACGTACACACACACAGCCTGCAGGTCTGTGGGAGGTAATTTCATTTCACATCAAACTGGGAACTTGGAATCGAGGCAAGAAGGAATGGGGAGGCACAGGAAGCTCCCCAAGTGGGACCCGCACTCATCTCTTGGAGAGGGTTTGCGGCTGCCTGGAGACTAGTCATGGCCGAGAAGGCGAGAAGGCGCAGCCAACAAGAGGGTTTGGATAGGAAGGGCAATGCTGAGTCTTCCTCCCCTCAGATACACACCCGAGCGCCAAGCGGCGCCTGTGCCTGTGTCAGGAGGGGAGAACCCACTTCCCCCTTGGGTCAGAGCAGGCCCCGCTGGTCCCCCACCAGCTCGGGGATTGGAGGCGGTGCCCAGCAGGCTGCCAGGGCTTAGCCCGGCACTGCAGCCGCAGCCTTGGAAGTGCCGCTGGGTGAGGGCACGCCAGGAAGGCTTTTCCTCCTTTCCCTCTTTCCTCCGAGATGTCTCCTAGCCCTCAGTCACCTGTAGCAGCAGCTTCCAAGAGTTTAGTCAGATCCCAGACACTCTTCTCAGAGGAGAGAGGGGCGAGCCCGGAGGGAGGTGTGAGGAAGGAAGAACAAGCCCCATCATATTCCCTGACGCCAGAGATCCTTGTTCAGGGACTGTACCCCTTACCATCCGCTCCCCCCCACACACACACATTCATTGGCCCCAGACACTGGGGCCTTCCGTGCTTATCTCTGCACTCAGGCCACACACCCTTCTTGGCAGTGGCTGGGAACAAATTCCACTCCAAAGTTTCTAACCACTTCACAAGAGAGACCTTGGAGGGCCAAGCAGTTGGCTTTATCTAATAATATATTTTTTTAAAAAGGACACTTCCCCAGAAAGCACGTGGATGCAGGAAGGAAAGGAGGCTTCGTGGACCCCCGGGCTGGCCAGCAGCACCAGCCCCACGCCCCCGGCTCTGCGGAAAGCCCCATCGCCGGCCCAACCCTGCGATTCTGAGGCGGATCTGCACATCCTGCAGAGCCCACAGCGCCGGGAAACAGCTCGGTTCCTGCCTTTCCCAAGCCCTTCACTTAACATTGCTCAACGCGGCTCCCTCCGCGGAGGGAATGCACATGATTTATATTCCGCTGGCTAGGTTGAAGAAACTCCAGGGAGATGTGCTCTGCTTCAAGAAAGGGGGGGAAAATCCCAAAAACTGAAATGCAGAAAGGCTTTGTAGTATTTTTAAACCTTTGATTCAGTCCATATGTGACATCTGAACACCGCCAAATTCTGTCTGTGTTTCAACACACACACACACACACACACACACACGCGCACACACACACGCACTCCCCGCAGGAGAATAAAGTTGGGTTTTAGCAGTGGCGGCGGCGGCGGCGGTGGTGTCAAGTAGGGAGGGCCGAGTGGGATGGCTCTTTCAATTATTCAGTATTGAGGATGCCTCCTTCTATGCCATCCCCTGTGCCCCCTTCCCGCCTTAGCAGTTACTTTTAAAGGGAAAGTGTTGAGATGAATAGAGAGAGAGAGAGAGAGAGAGAGAGAGTAAAAAAAAAAACTTTCAGGGGCTTACCTGGTTGGCCTCTCACTCCTCGTCCTGAAAAGTAGAGGGCTAGGAAAAGCCAGGTGAGAGGAAACATATCCATGTTGGAGAAGGAGGCTCTCTCCAGGGCGGGCTGCGTGGGCTTCTTGGATAATTGTAAGTCTTTGTGTTTTTTCTCGCTCTCGTGATCTTCCTCACGGTGTCTTCTGCAGAGAATGGTCAGCGGTCCCCTCTTGGGCCCTGGCGGCCGGTCTTCACCTTGATCCTTGCTGGGTGCCCACCTCCCCAGGAGGAGGGTCGGTCAGCCAAGAGGGGAGCCAGGCGGGAAGAGGGGACGGTTCTCCTCTCTCTGACAAGCAAAACGGATCTGTGTCCTCTCCAGTTCCTCAAAGTATCATTTCCTTTATCCTACAACATCACGGATTATTTCCCGAAAGCCAAACGTAAAAAAAAAAAATGGAATAAAAAAATAAAAGCCAAGAGTCGCCTTGGGCATCACACGGCCCCAGGCAGCTGTGTGATCTCAGAGGCGCACACTGACACGCAGCCCCCGGCCCCGGGGACCCGCGAGAGGGCGGCGGCGCCCACGGCCGGACAGGACAGCCCGGGTGGCAGGCGGCCGCCGGGCTCCAGCCCTCGCCGGGTTCCCCCCGCGGGATCCTCCGCAGCGGCTACCCCCGCCCGGCCAGCCTCACGAGGAGCCTGGGGAAGGAAGCCGTGGCCGCCGGCGGTGCGGGGAGGCGCTGGGATCGCCGGGAGGGAGCGGGCGAGCCCCTCTCCGAGTTCGCTGGCGCCCGCCTTCACCGCCGCCGCGCCCCGCGCCTCGCCGCCGGGTGTCTGCGCGTCGGGAGCTGCGCCGGGGGCGGGCTGCGGGCGGCCGCCTCGCTCGCGATCTCCGCTTCCCCGCGGGCTCCCCCCTGCCTTTTCAGGCCGAGCAGCATGTGGATGTCAGCGCCGCGGCAGAGCGATCCGATTACGCGCCGGCCCAGGGCCCGCCCCTTCTGTGTTCCTGATTAAAGAGGCAGCCGCGGCCGCGCGCCGCGCAGAGCGAGCGCCGCGGCACCGGCCCGGGCGGGGCGGCGGCGGCTCTTCTCTCTCCTCTTCCCTCCCCCAGCAACCGCGGCCGCGGCCCGATCAAAGTTAACGCAGCTCCCACCCCGCCGCCCCTCTCCCGCCCGGCCTCTCCCGCCGCCCACCCCGGGCCCCTCCGCTCCAGGCTGCGCCGAGCTGCCCGCGCGCAATGCCCCGGAGAAGGAGCGCCCCCGGGCACCTCCGGGGCGAGCTGCCCTTGACCGTGTCCACGCCGCCAGAGGGAGAATCCGCGGGAAACGGGGAAATCCTGGTCCCCCCCCCCCCCCAATTCCCCGACTGCGATGCCACACACGGAGAACCCAGCACAATGCCACGCGCAATGGCGTGGGTGGCGCACGGCGTGTGGAGCGGGGAGCCAGGCGGCGGCTCAGCCATGCGTTTGCACAGGCAGCGGTGCGTGGCGGCGACACACACACGCATACACACGCGCAGGCCCTGCTGAATCAAATCCCAAACACCCACCCTGAGTGTACTACTCAGATCCTTTGTTGTGTCCCAAACACGCTTCTCTCCTCGCTGGGTGATGATTCACTTCTCCCAAGCCCCTAACTTGAAACTACCAGGAGAGCAAAGACTTCAAAGAATTTGTTCAGACCATTGAAATGGATTCCTCCACCCTCCCCCCCACCCCGCCGGAACATGTACAGGTACCTGAAGGTTTCTCCTTATATACATACACATTCCCCACCCCCCGCCCCCCTGAAAACGTGGCCACAATTTGGGGTGAAAAAACATTGCATGGTACTCCCTATTTTTAAATGGAGGTATGCAAACTGTTCAGCGGGAGCTGCAAGCTATTAGTTGGGGAAACACACTTGTATCTTTGTTTCCGAGGATGGCATGGCGTTGTGGATTCTAAAAGGTCTTGTTTCACTGGGCACCTACTACTCCATTATCATAAAGACTCTTAATGGGAACAGTCTGAATGACACCCTAAGTATACTTTTCTGCTGCTCTGCAGATGAAGAAAAATAAAGTTTTGGTGACAAGAAACACACACATCTGACTGTCCCATTTATTTCTCTGCTTGTACTTTGTGGATTCTTCTGGGTGGCTTTCCTCCTTATCTGGACTTGCCATTAGCTTTGTTTATCACTTTTAGTGTTTGAAAAATCTGCAACTTCCACTTAACCGTTATTTACACTGAGATAAATCAAAACAAAATTGAATCAGAAGTGATTTGCAAATAGTGGAGCCCAGCCGTGGAGGGGTTTTAAGGTGCTGGGTAAATCCACAGGCTGCATATCGCCCTGTGGATCTTTGAGGCTTGGTTTGAAAGGCCATTTAGCAGAGGCCTGGTGATTTTCCCAGCCAGCTTACCTCCAGGGGAGACTAAAGGCTACCTTTCATTCCTGCTCTTCCCCCCCACCCCTTTCTTTCTTTCTTTCTTTCTTTCCCTTCTCCCTTCCTTGGCTGGAGAGCACATCCACAATATTAAAAACTCCAGATTTACCTTTCCCCCTGTTTAAATGTCAGTTTTAAAGAAAGACTGCCGCTCCCCAATATTTAATGGAGTAAAGAGGCAGTGTGGATTTTAATCTTAAACAGAGATCCCGGCTTCTGCTATGGCCACGATGCTAACGTAGGAGCCAATAGCACTGCCTACAGGGACAGTGCCTAGAGGATCGTTTAGTACCACCTCCCCAACCACTTACCGGGCTGGCCAGACCACTGTCGTAGTGTCCAGCTTGGAAGAACCCTATTTCTGGGAACATCGTAACCAGAGTTCAGGGGCAGAGCCGGGGGAAAGAGGATACAGAGAGAAAAGTAATAAGCCGAAGCTCGTTGGGAAACCATGAGGATGACTATTCTGACTTCTGAGCTTGGGGCCGCAGGTTGAGGGCAAGGCCTGGTATCCTGAAGTGGAGTGAGAGGTCTGGTGAGTCTGGTTCAGAGCCCTCAGGACTCCTTTTTTCTGATCCTCTAGGGGGCAGCACTCAATAAATAATGGTAATACTGGGAGCTACCTGTGGTAGCACTTCTGTTGATGCTTTTATTTCTGGAAGCTCAAAGCCCTTTATCAGACCTGGGAGAGGCAGAGCGAGTCCAGTTCTCCTCTAGCCTTCTCTGAACAAGACTCCACGGGCCCAGGGAGGACGGAAAATCGCTTTAATCCAGGACTTCCAAGGACTCTTGGGAATGAAACACAAATCCCACGTGTGCCCAATGGAAAATGAACCTTTAGGGGAATTCTCCAGACTGGCTGGCTCAGACCTGCCAAGCCCCAGCTTTTGTCTGGACTGGAATCTCAGGGGTTTGGCTGCCGTTGGTTTGGTTACCACCAGAGGTGCCGGAGTGAGGATCCAGGCACCGGACTTTGACTTTTCATTATTTTGTGAGTTTACATCCCTGACCCATGGAGACAGACGCCTGCGTGCTAAAAGGCCTGTTGCTTCCACAGGAACAATGGGCCTGTGAACAGAAACACCGAACCAGCTAGAGGCTGAGATTTCAGGCAGCCTCCCTGACTCAGCTCGGACGTTTTATATCATTACCCTTAATTGTGAAATAATAACAGATAATCGCACCCTGCATTCCATTCCTTTGACAGGAAGGGACATGGGAGACATAAAAGAGTTGTGAATGATGCTCAGGGAAACTGTAACCTGGCCACACCCCGTGGGAACCCAGGCCTTCCCGGCTGGGCTGTCCCAAACCAAGAGAGCTCACCAAGTCACCGAGGGCAGCGATGTTCAACCCGTGTGCTGCATGGTGTTTAAAACTTGCAATACCTGGCTGTTTAGTCAGGGGCACTGACCTCTTCCCCTTAAATTGCCAAAAAAAAAAAAAAAACAACAAAAAACAAAACAACAACAAAACACACACACACACACACACACACAAATAACATACACACACACATACACACAAACAAAAAACAACCCAGCAGCTAACACAACAGTAGCCATATGGTGTGAATGAATCAAAATTATACCTATTTTTTTTTTTTTTGGCAGACTGGCAAAAAAAATACATATTGTTTTGTGTGCCACAGAACTTTCGCAGTTCGTGTATGTGTGCCATGAGATGGAAAAGGTTGAGAATCGCTGGCCTAGGGTGAGTGTTAACAATTCCGGTTGGGTTTCTTGGATCTGGCTTGGTCTACAGATCTGAATTTTAATGCATATTTTAGGAGATGCTTAATACGCCAAGCAATTGGCAGCCTCTATCCTGAGGGTATTTGATTTACACATAGCCTGCGATATTGGCACTTTCCTTGAAGGACACCTGGATTTCTGTTTTTTCCACATTTCCTCTCCAGGCACTTTTCAAAGGAGGGGGTGGGGCATATGTCTCATGATTTTGAGAAAAGCCATCAAAAACATGGTCCTTAAAATGCTGGAACGGGAGCGGAGGTAGGAGCCGAGGTAGGAGGGGTGGGTAGGGTGGAAGAGAAGGTCCCCAGCTCTAACTCATGACCTTTATTTAGCAGCAACAGCAAAGAACTTATTTGATACAGGAAAGGTTGGGCTCCAGGGTGGGAGTTTGTAGGAACAAGTTCAAGGTGCCCGCTGACGGGGCCTATGGAGCTGGATCCAGCCCTTTCACCACCAACCCACGCAGCCACTGGTTGTTCCTGGAGGTTTGCTCCAGGTGTGGCTCTCCATCTGCGTTCACCACAATGCGCTCATTAGATGCTCATGGGAGCGTGACTGCAGGAGGTGCACCAGCGAGGAAGACATTGGGGTCCAGCCTCCTGGGAACAGAGGGCTGGAAAGCTCCAGAAGCTTCGTGCTTCCACAATAGATGGTACCTGTCACAGGGGGCTCCCCCTTATCTCAGCCCTCACATCCGACAAGCTCTCACACTGGAACGGGAAGGTCGGAGGCCTAATTGCATCTTAATCTGTAATTTACCACCCTGCTTTCGTTAATGTTTAGCTGCATCTGTCTCAGAGGCAGGAACTTCAGTTAAAATGTAAAAAGCTCCTCATTTTGTGTTCTTTTGGTTGAAGCTAAAGTCCAGGTTTCTGGCCAATAGGGGTTTCCCCCCCTCACCCTCTAAACAAAC